AAGCAGTTGTTTATAGTCAAAACAGCGTTACACAGATAATGTATAAATTGAAATTGCTGTAGTAAAATTTTGCGTAATTCGTGAATCAAAACCAGAGTAAATAAGCGGCTGACGTACTGACTGAAGTTTTTTAAATTTAAAAACTAAACTATTCCAACCTCTTTGACTTGGAACTGTTCAAATATTCAATGTTTCTCAGACACAGTACGTTACAAATAAGCAAAGGCGATTCGCGGAACGATTTCTTGTCGCCGACACCCGAAGGAGTTATAATTTTGCAAAAGTAAACTTTATAACACGAAATGTAAGGTTTGATTTCCATCTTAGTGTTACAGCAGATGCAAATAATGTAGATTAAATGAGAAATTGGTCATACAGGGTGTTGTTTAGTTGAGATTTATTTGAGTGCGATGACCTCGGTAAAGGAGGTTGGTCCATGCGCACAATTGGTCATTAATTGCGCATGTTGATAGAATTGGAGTGTACTGTCTGTTTGTAGTGCGACGACATTTGCATGGCTAGCTGTTTGTACCTAATAAGTGTATCATTTAGCCAATAAAATCGTGACTTTGATCGATCTTCGTTATTTAAATTAGTCGACTGACAGTTCTGAGAACGATTTAGTTTATTGTAATAGAAAAGTGGCAATAACATAACATCACGCCTTTTTTCTCTGAACGTGTAGGCCACCCACACAATAACACCCACTTTTCACTATTTATGTTACGAGTCCCATGTAGCAGGGGGTGAGCCTATTGCCATATACCGGGTACAATTCCAGACTCCGTGCTACTAGGTACTGAGATTTAGAAAAAGAATCGAACTTGCGACTAATCTGCCACCGAAGCAGTCAATAATAAGTGGCAATAACTACTTTCATTATCATGTTGGTCATCAACACTATATTATTTAATAATAACAACTCCAAAATTTTATAACACAAGCACTTATTCCAAAAACGCAAATCCTAATATTACAAAACGCACCCATACCCTCAAAAATCCATAAACCCACCCACCCACCAATTTTAAAACCAACCACCACAAAAGATGAACAACCTCATTCATAAACTTGACATCTATAAAAATTTACCTGTCATTGTTGCCATCTTGAAAATAGAGCGAGATAGCAACAGTTTTGATGGCAAAAGAGTTTTATAGGTATTAAAGCCAGGTAAGACTAACAAAGGTTCAATGTAGTGAGACGTAAACAAAAAGAATGAATCACTTGTCAAAAGTAGACTTTAAATAAATAATAATAAAGCATCTAACCATGTTTAAAACTTGCAGAAGTGTCTTAATTTGTAAATTCAATTGCAGAAAGAGACTACCATAAAATAAAATGCAATTACTAACAGCTATGACACCGCTAAAAAACCTAATAACTACATAGTATAAAACAAAGTCGCTATCCGCCGTATGTCTGTCCCTATGTGTGCTTAGATCTTTAAAACTACGCAACGGATTTTGATGCGGTTTTTTTAATAAATAGAGAGATTCTTAAGGAAGGTTTATAAGTATAATACATGCATATTGCACCCGTGCGAAGCCGGGTGGGTCGCTAGTTCATTCAATATCTAAATTAGCTATAAAAGTAACGCTTTCTTAAAGAAGAAGTAAAAGTGATAAGAAAGAAAAAGGACGTTTGATAGACAGACGTAGAAGAAGAGACATATGGCGCGTACGGTAAGTAACTTGAATTAAATAAGGGCGGCAAGAAGAAGATAGCGGCAAGAATAGACTAGATAAGTAATTGTTATTTTTGTGTTCGTCTGGTAGATTATTTTAAAACATAGACACATATTTTTAAATTTCTTACAGATTCAAATACTTTCGACGACATATTGATTTGAAATGTCGCGTGACGTCACTTCTAGGGACATTAATTATACGTAGAAATGACGTTTTAGCTCCCACTCCTAAACTTAGATTCGTTTTATCTAACTAATCTACAATAAGCAACAATGTAAGCTAAATCTTTCTCACACTAACCTTCGAACTGTGAACTGAGATAAGCGAAATATCTTAACGACTAACAGGAAACGCAAAACACAAACGGAAACTATTAATGGATACAAACAATATTTGAGCTGTTGTGTCCATAGCATTAACTGTTTGCTCTGTTTGGGCAACAGACAGATTTACAGTACTGAGTGTGTACATAGTTATTTTAAAAGATATTGGTCTAATTTTTACTCTGCAAGCCCTAAAAGAGGACATGTGACCCTAGGAACGTAGACTTAACAATAGCTGCCAGGAATCTTAGATAGGTAATATACCTATTAAGCATACCTACAAGTCTAAGTAACATTCCCAAATCCGATATTTATAATATCGAAAGATGTATAGAGAATACAGAATGCTTAATGTGAGATTGATAAATCGTACCTCCGGTGCTATACCGTCACTTATGTATTGCGGGGGCCCGCGCGAAACTGAACAATGAAACGTTGTTTCTCCTAGTGCCGTCCAGATTAGCGCCAAAACCGTAACGACAGTAATGCCCTCACAATGTCAGTTTGCTTACTACACAAATGACAATAACGCACCAAGTAAAGAGGTGAATTTGGAGTATTCTTTCATAATCAGTTAAGTTTTGATAAAAATTGTGTAAGTGACGATATTGCACCGTAGGCGTAGGTGCGAAATAATGATTGCATATCAAGCAAGGATAAGCCAAAAGACGAAATTAATTTAGAAAAGGTTATATACGGGATCTTTCTACGTCTATAATCGAAAGCACACAAGACAATATAAACTAAACAAGCGTTCCCAAGACAATAAACATTTAAAATTACATTACGACACCAAAAACAGCAATATAAAATCGAATCACAGCTGAAGATAAGTGGAACTGCGTCCGTTTCTCATTCAAGCATACAAAGTGAGTGACGATTTTCCAAAACAAAATGGATACTTTCCCTCAAAATAGTGTATTTGTACACATATTGTCCCTTTCTAAGTCGTAAACTGGCACTAGTTGATCAATATTCAAAATGTTCCGAGTGAGTCCCGACCATAGAAATCGTGGGCAGTTGCTGTGCATACCAAATGTTGGATGACCACATTGGTATTCACCCAACTGTTGGAGACAAACATGTCGTACCCAATGTTTAAAATTAAGCTGTTACTCCTTATCTCTTGATCTAGGATATTCCGATGATCTTAGTTCAAGAAGAGACTATTTTTAGCGCATTTAAACTCGTTATTTTTGACTGCCTCGTTGGCCGAGTGGTCGCAAGACAAGGGGTCTCGGGTTCGATTCCCGGGTCGGGCAAAGTAGTAAAGGTTTTTAAAAATATCAGTAGTAGCACGGAGTCTGGAATTGTGCCCGGTATATGGCAATAGGCCCACCCCCTATTACATGGGACTCATAACATAAATAGTGAAAAGTGGGTGTTACATTGTACAGTGGCATAATGTGCATGTCTGCCTATTTTTACCCGACTGCAGCGAAGCTCGGTTATTTATAGTTATATCATGTTTTTCTTGGGCTAAACTTGGTTACAGTTATATCTATTTGATGGGCCGACATTTGACCACTATCTCGCCTGGTGGTAAGCGATGATGTGGCCTACGATGGAGCATGTCTGCCTATACGCAACCTTATACTGTATTTCTAACATAAATATGACATTTTTACCCAGTTAAGTCAGAGTCGTAAATCAAAATAAAGTCATAATGGTCGCCAAAGTCTTTGGTTTTAATTTTAATGGTGTTTATATTTGTAATATGTCACTTACGTTACCATAGCGTTAAAACTACTACGTTACCTAATGTAATTGTAACTATTTTATCCAAATCGGGTATACAATCATAGATGCGCGTTCGCCTAAACTTTTGCATAAAATTCCATGTTTCAATAATGAGTAAAATTCGTAGTTGAATGACCAATGAACTATGAATCAATATAGGACTAACCAGATATGAATTGTATTGTATGTATTGTAAATACAATACATTCCCATACAGTTCTATAAAGCAAATAAAATTAAATAAATATTCATATCGTAATTACATTCGTACGATGATTAAATTGATGTCAACAAACGTACCTATTACGCGATATGTACTTCTTATGTCTATTGTAATTCGTATTTAAAAATTACTAATAATAATTAGCACAGAATATAACATTCTGGCCAATATATGGGAAAAACATTACACACTAAAACATGGATAACATAGGTAAAGGGTAAAAAAGTTTGTGTTTTATTATGGACACTTCTGTCCATCCCATTGGAGATTATATACCGGTGTAGTGACACAGATTTGCATTTAAACAGACAAAATAAAGGTATAAACTGTTGTTAACTTCACCGAAGAGCTTAAGTCTTATAGTTTCAAGTTGAAAAGAAGATTATTATAAAATATTCAGCGCCGATCGGCTTAAAAGATTTCTATGCAGATGGTTTTAGGAATTACTCAAATAGAATTCTAAGAAAATAAGCTATTGTTTTCTACTGATAAGAAAGAGAAATTAAATGAATGAATTAAGGAACATTATTTTAGTTGTACCCTCATTAGAAGCGAAAGATTGAAATAGGGAATAAATAAGAAGAGTATACTAGGTAAATAAACAATAATATTACTGTGGTAAAATGCTGGTAGATTAAAATGAATATATGGATTTTTTTAAACGAAAGGTTTAAAGTGTGGGTACCTAAATAATAAATTCAACAAGCAATCCTACAAATATCAACGTACGAAGCTGAAAGCAAGCCGATGCCATAATACGGGGTCGGGTTACGAGCGCATAACGTCAACAAATGCGGCACAATTAAAAAACATTAAAAAATGCGATGCGTTGAATTCACTCCAGTTTTTAAAACGACTCGTTTCACAAGTCCCTACTGTGAGAACCAAATGGTAAACCGACCAAACGTAATAAGACACCGGTACGCCGAAAGCTCCCTAAGCCAGCGCGCCAACGCTATTCGGCCGCATAAAGTTGCAGATCGCGCTTTCATAAGCTTAACTACTTGTATAACTAGCACTCACCTTCGACACCATGGATCCTGGTGGCCAGTGTCGACACCACTATGAAGATTGACAGCAATTGAATCCCATAATCCGGTATAAAGTTCCTCGACCACATTTTGTAACACAACATTCACACATGGATCACACACATTTGTTTTACTCCTTCTATGTCGTTTGAACACTAAATAATCAACACTCACGGAACTAAATGTAAGAACTGACACTTCATTTTGTTTTTAAACTGTTGTTACGTCGAAACCATTTGTTTATTGGACATTTTAGCGGTAAAACACGTTCGAAATTAACGTAAAGCCCGGTAGGATCATGCGCAGCCGCGTCCCGCTCGCATCTGACGGCTTTGTCCGTAAATACACAGCGTACGGTAAATCAAAATGGCCGCCAGCGCGCCTGTGTGCGTGCGCACCCCTTGTTACTGCACGTATTTTAATATCTAAGCTTTATCACCGCGTTGATTCACTAGTTCTGTTCATTTGAAAACAGTACACAACTGATTTAAGTCATGAATTGTAGAATATTTGGCTAAAACACCGTGAGAACCAAATTACGCACACATACAAACGTACGCGAAGGAATGTTGATTCAATGGAGAAATCAAGCGATTCAGCAGCGCCGTGTGCGCACAACCAATCATGAGCTTTTGAACTTTGTCGTTCATTCGCCACAACAGAGATGGCGCTATTGACAAATGAAGTTAGGGGTAGTTAATTTTCATAGTAAATTAAACATAAGTGTACACTAACTATTATTTAATGAAACAAAGTTAAAAAGATAATTAGTAAACAGATAACACCAAACGAAAATTTTTATACAACCAACTAACAGTTTGATCAATAATAAGAATTCTGTCGTAGTTACGAAGTTGTTAGTGAGGGTTGGAGTTCGAATATTTTTATTATTAAATCTCATCGAGTGCATAATTAACAATGGCGATGTGTTATCAAAAACATCCCTTTGAAATAGAAACAGAAGACCGACTCACTACTATCAACACAAAAATATTTGAGATTAAAAAGAAAATACAGTTATCAGGTGCGTGGAACATTACATTGAACAAAGTATATTGTATATTTCATAGCATACATTTAATAAATTCTTAAAAAACAGTACGTACGTAAAGAAACACATCTTTATGTATTTTTTATGCGCCACTGATGGACCCTAACTTAGGTGTCATGTAACTGCATGTCCTAATTTAGGTCGTATTATTTTTCATGAATTAGGTAATTCTGATTTTTTTTCTATCCTGCCACTTAGCAATCTGTTTCTACAGAAACAATAATCTAATTTGATATCAGATTTACATTATTGGAAGTGGATTTGCTGAGATGTGTCCGCAGTGGTACCATTCTCATCTTTTGTCAGCAAATCTTGTTGCAGGTCTGGTATCTTGTTTGTTTTTAGGCGAGAGTATCTTAGACTGCCCACCCCCTGCAGTTCTGCGGCAAGCTGATTAATATGTTGGTCAAGTCTTACTTGGTAGTTCTTGCTGTAAGTCTCTATTTCCTCTTTCACCGTTCTCAGATTTTGGTCCATTTTTATATATTTCTTGCATGTATGGTGGGCTCTCATTGTTTTACTCTGAAACCGCTATAATATTTCTATATTACTGTGACTGGCAGTACCCCAAAGCTGAATTCTATATATCCACACAGGCTTCAATATAGTTTTATAGATTGTCATTTTACTGGCGTCGGATAGTTGTGATGTGCGTCCAATGAGCCAATACATGTCTCTAAGTTTGCAATCCAGTTGTTTCCTTTTTGTCCATATATGTTTGCGCCACGTGAGTCGTCGGTCGAGGTGTATACCTAGATATTTAGCATCATCTGCTTGTGGGATTTCCACGTTATAGGGTGGACATGTTTTCCTTCTGAGAGTGAAGGTTACATGAACTGTTAATTCTGATTTATGGTAATTCTGATTCTTAATGTATATCCAAAGAACCAAATTCGCTTCCTATTAAGTAAATAGAAAAGCTAAAAGATAATGATTTGGTTCTTTACTCTACAGAGGGACAAAGAAAGTCAAATTTTGAGGAAAATGAAGCAGAGAAACAGCAGAATAATGATCTAATAGATACTTTGAAGAAAGAAATCAAGTTGCGACTCACAGAGCTGGCCCAGGCTAGAGCTGTGATTGGGGAAGATGAGGTGCAGATCAAGAAGTACTTGAATGAAGTGTGTCCTATGGGGGATAAAAGTGCTGATAAGGTTTGTATTAATACTAAGAATTTTATTTTAACTAAGTGTATGACTTTAAAAGGAGAGAATAACAGTTTAGAAATAGTATTCGTATGGGGGGAAACTATTTCTAATTAGAATCATTACGTTATTAACCCATGAAAACATACAGAGTGTATTTGTATTGTAACTTTCGTGAGACATACCAAACACTGCTACTGTAGCAGTAGCAGCGCGACAGTCGCTACGTCGCGTGTCGCGAAATGCTGCTCATAAATATGCTACGCTGCGTATGTATATTCTGCGGTTTTTTGTATATTAGAAACAGACACTTGGATTTTATTTATCGGTATATATAAGTTGTTCTATATAATATGTAATAAGATGTGCCGTTTCATTAAGACATGTTTTGGAAACTGGCATTTTAATAAAAATAAAGCATATTATTGTAACCTAGAAAGTAGTATATAAACAGTAAACTAATTTAGTAATGTTTCATCTTTAACAGATAATACACAATCTAGATCTAAAAGTGACAGAACAGAGAAAGATGCTGGACTTATTAAAATATGAGAAGAGGAATAAGAAGAAGAAACTAGCAGAAATGGAGAAGGAGTATGAACATCTTCTGATCGAGAACAATAAGGGACAACTTGTCAAGTCGAAAAACAATAGCAGAGCTAGAAAAGTAAGTATAGACAAAAAGTCAAAGTCAAAGCATTTATCACTACACAGTATAACACAAAGTCGCTGTCCGCCGTCTGTCTGTCCCTATGTCTGCTTAGATCTTTAAAACTACGCAACGAAATGTAATGCGGTTTTCTTTATTAGATAAAGTTATTCTTAAGGAAGGTGCATATGTATAATACATACATATTGCGATCGTGCGAAACCGGGGCGAGTCCCTAGTTTTAATTAAACCATAATTTAGTACTTTTGGAACGTCAATAAATTCAAAATAAATAAATAATAGTCTGTCAGTCAGTCCGTCAGTGAAGCTAGGTGAAGCTAGGTACAAACAACTAGTAACAGATAAACAAACAGTCAATGAAACTATTTATATCATTCGTAGAAATTCAAAGGAATACAAGAAAAAGTTGGATTTATTTCATTATTTGTTCCTTTTCGTGACACGTAAGTTATCTAGCAAAATTTTGTTAACATAATATGTAGATAGATGTGAGAAATAATGTTAATTTAAATGTATATGAAGTAGAGAGAGCCAATCACCGGACAGAGGTTATGGAAGTGTTTGGGGAAAGCGTAGGTACGTTTAGCAGTGGATGTTTTATGGCTGATAATAGGGTAGATGCCTAATTTTTATTTAATGTCCGTCTAGTCGATTGTTTTATATCATTAGACACGTATTTTTTATTTTCTTACAGAAACAAATACATTCGATGATATATTGATTTGAAATGTCGCGTGACGTCACCTCTATGTACATTTTATACGTAGAAATGACGATTTAGCCCCCACTCGTAAACTTTGATTCGTTTTATCTAAGTATTGTTTTTATTATACAGCAAAATAAAAAAGATACGTGTCTAATATTTTTTCATTACCTAACTTACGGACTAATTAGATTTTTAATTTTTATACCCCGTTATCGTCTCAATTATGATGATAATGATGATGATGATGATGATGATGACGAAAGAAAATAAAGAGAAAGCCAAACATGAAACCATTTTTCCAAAAGTGTCGTAAAAGAAAAAGGGAATGATCTAGGATAGATTGGGTACGAATATACATTGTATTCTAACAAAGTAATTGAATTTACACACAGCACGTTTCGCACTTAGAAAATGAGATCCACAAAGTTCTGATCCAGTGGACGGAAGCAGAACTCGTCAAGAAGAAATACATTTATATCAGGTATGTGGGAACTAGATGTAGAACACTAATGATAGGGCTGAAATACAAATACCAAAGCAACACATTTAAAAATTGTTTTCGATGATAGCGTAAAAAGATCAGTTGAATATTATTGAGTATTTTTGTCATTTGCCTGCCTCGTTGGACGAGTGGTCGCAAGTGCGACTGCCGGGCAAGGGGTCTCGGGTTAGATTCCCGGGTCAGGCAAAGTACCTATTACTAGGTTTTTTAAAAAAAACTCGGTGGTAACACGGAGTCTGGAATTGTGCCCGATATATGGCAATAGATTCACCTCCTATCCTATTACATGGGACTCATAACATAAATAGTGAAAAGTGGGTGTTACATTGTACAGTGGTATTAAGTGCCGTATAATGTGCACCTCTGCCTACCCCTTCTGGGATAAAAAGGCGTGATGTTATGTTATGTTATGTTTTGTCATTTTACTGTAAAGGTCATTTTAAAGGCCTTTTGCGCTGTGACGCACCATGAACTTCTTTTTGTGTGTTCTTGCATAGTTGTCTGCATATGTGTCGTGGCGTAATAAACGGTTTTTCATTCTTTCTTTCTTTTACATTGCAGAAGGATTATTATATTTGATAAACTGTTTTGAAAAATATATAATTTTCAAAATGCGATCCGCACAGTAGGTATGTGAGTATCTGCCTCCTTGACGTACATTATATTTTTACAGACAAGCCCTATTAGACGATTCAGTCAAATTTGAAAGCTCGCTGACACACATTGAAGACCTGTTGAAGAAACAGAAAGAAGAAATTATGAAATTAGAGGTAAGAATTATTGTTGGTTTTTAGAACGAACTAAATTTTGTAAACCTTTATATCAAACACTTGTTTCAATTTTCTTTTATAATTATTTGACTGATCTCTTTGTAGCGTATTCGTGAGGAAGCAGGAGAGATGCGTATACGCGCAACAGCAGCTACAGCAGCTGAGGCGGCGCGGGCGCACGATGCGGAACATTCGAGAGCTGCAGAACGAGCTTACTTCGCGCAAAGATTCGCTGAGAGAAAGCGAGAGTTGGAAAAGCTTGAGAAGAGAGTGTTTCCCCCACAAGGTGATTAAGAATATGATTATTATCATTAAAAAATAGTATTTTTAAATTCCATGCATCGTCACAATCTACAAATCAATGCAAATTAATGAATTTAATATTTTTAAACAAAAATCAATACAATTACCATCATATGAAAATTGGTCTCCAAAGTCAAGGTTGAGCCTAAGTTTTTCCCAATCACAATGTCG